GTTTTAATCAACGTGAAAAAGGTCAAGAATTAAAGCTGCTTAGATTGATTCTCTTCTAAGAAAATCAGCATATCTCAAGAAGTTTGTGACACAGAATTTAAGGCAGAAATATGATACCCTCACACTTCATCACAGGTGTTTACAGTTCTTAACCTTAGATAGAAGAGGGCATGAAAAGTTTAGGATTGTAAATGATTACTGTAAATATGTATAATAGTTTCAATTTTACTAAAATAAATATATAAAAAACAGAAGGATTGTGATCAGTTGAAATAAGGACAGTTAGTTCTGAGATAGAATTTATGGAGAGAAGACTTATACCAGGATACCTACAATGACAAGCCTCTGAAGTAATTGAAGAATTTATAATGAATAATATACCTTGTCCACTATAAACAAAATCTTCTTGTCTACACAGATCTCCACAATTACTTTGTTTAAAAGACTTCTGGGTGAATGTTCTATGCAGTGGTGTCAAACTCCCGGCCCAAGGGCTGGATGCATCATGTGCTGGCCTTGCCCATGCCTAGTTTACTGAAGGTGGGGGAAAGTCCCAATACTTCACCTCATGCTGCTGTGACTACGTGAGTTTGACACCCTTGTTCTAGTGGATATTCCGAAGGCCACTTATTTATTTAACATATTAGTAGATTTATATTTACTTTACATTCAGGAGCTGATGGCAGTATACACTGTAGTTGTTCTCCTATTCTTCCCCATAGCAATGCTTTTGTGCATAGGTTGGAGTGAAATGACTGGGCCAAAGTCACTCAATGGAATGAGAATCAACTAAAATTTTGGTTATTGCTTATTATAACTTCAGCATAGAGTGGTACAATATTGACAGTATACCCTGAAATCTTCCTTCTTTCATTCCTTCCTTCCCTCCCTCCCCTTCCCTCTTTCTCTCTTTCTCTCTCTCTCTCTCTCTCTTTCTCTCTTTCTTTCTTTCCAGCATGTTTTTATAAGCTCAGTAGTCCAATGTATTACCTTTCATTGATTATTATGAAAGCAGCGTAACATACTGAAAAGTGCTATGGTGTAATTAGCAATAACATAATTAACATTGGGCATGTATAACCAGGAACCAGATCATGCTATAGTTGGACCTATCAGAGCAATGTTTGTCTTTTGTTCTTCTGCCTAGACCCATTTTTAATGCTTGCTTTAATCTACATATCTAAATGCTATACTATTTTTAACATGTGTAAGTTTATATATGAATATAGGCATATACAATACATACTACTGCATGTATAGACACACACATACTGTATATAAATAAAAGAGAGCCAAGTTTAATGTAGTATTTTAGGTATTGAACTAGGGTTGGAGAGACCCGGCTATAGGCAAATCTCATTGATGGAAGCTCATGAGTGATTTAGGGATAGTCATTATCTCAGTTCAATCTCTCTGACACTTCAATCTATTTTACAGAGGCAGCAGGATGTATGCTACTTGAGTTGTTGAAGGAGAAGTGTGATACAAATGTAATAAGGCTGAAAGCATGGAAGCTGGAAAAGGAACATGTATCTCATTCAGGTGTTTTGTCTTATATAGTATAATCAATTCTTCCCTTTAGAAAAATCTAACTTTTTATTCAACACATGAACAGAATATATTTTTCTAAAAATTAGAACATTTTTTTTTCTATTTTACTTAATATAACAACTATCATACTTTTCTTATCTATTTTTTTCTTGAGATGTCACTGGTTTGCCTGCTTCCATTCCAACCTACCCATCTAACCCAAGCTGTAAATACTAGTTGCGGTTGAAATGAAACTGCTGCTTGTCTTTATTGCATATTTGAAATTCTATATTGAATTGAGTTGAATTGAAACAACATCTAATAACTTATAATAACTAATAAAAATAGTCACGGCTAATAGCATGAAGTGTTAGTGCACATATATACATACAGTACATTCTCATTAGGCTATTCTTTTTTGAAGTAAGCAATATCATACAAAGAATAGAAGGCATGACACATACAAAAGAAAAGGAAATATAGCTAAATTTAGTTTACACCTGCACTACACTTTTTAACTTTGCAAAGAATTCTTGTTTGCCCAATGGCCATACAGTCCTGTTGTGGCCCACCAGTAGAGCTGGCAGCAGATTCAGACAGTGAGGAGGTTGGGGAGAAACATGGACCAGTCCTGGAGTCTGATGAAGGCTCTGATAGGGGCTCTGTGTTGGAGGTAGAGGGGGGCAGAGCCGTATGCCAATTATCAGCTGTTTTCAGAATCAGACATCAGTGAGGCAGACAAATAATTGGAGCCTGTTCCCAGTGTACACATGTGCAGATTTGCCAGACAAAGGGGACAACTAAAGAACAGGGTTTGATTTGGGAGGAAAGCCAAATGACAAATGCCCCCTCCCAGAGGAAATAAAAGAAGGGGAATGGAGTTTTCAGGAGACAATTAGTTTGCTAATTAATTAATGCCTCTCGGAGACTCCTTGCCAAGTTCTACACATACCAGCTTGTCATCTCTCCAAGCCAGATAAGGTGTGACTGTACAGTGAATGAGCAGAATTCACTGTAAATTAATAAAAAGAGATTTTTGCCAGAGCAAGGAGTTTGTTTCATGGTCTTGGGAAGCCTTGGTCAGAAGGCTTCCCAAGCAATTTGATTTCTTGAAAACTATTCACTCCTTTCTTTCAGATCTCCAGAACTTTCATCAACTCCATGCAACCGTAACTTCCTCAGCCTTCCCCTTCCATTCCATTTATTCTTCCTTATATTTGTTTTGTGGTTTGATACTTATTCTATTTATGTGACCAAATTTCTGAAACATGCTATCTTCCTGCTGTTCACTCATGCCTGGATTCAATTCACATTCCTTTAGTACACACTCATTCTTATGCCTATTTTTTTTCCCTGTATTCTTACAGATACTTTTTAGGTAAACCATTCCCACCGCATTGAAATTATGCCTACATTTCTTCCAACATACTCAGTTCTGCTTCCATATAACTTCACAAACAGAAGTGTGTTCTTCTGTAAATAACGCAAATAGCATTATGCACACAATAGAGATGGAACCTAACTATGTATGGTGTTCCCACTATGTTTTTTAATGTAATGAAAACCTTAATTTGACAATTGAAGTTTTTATTAAAAATCAAAATAATAACATGGTATCACAATTACAATATTTTCAAAGAACATTTGTTTTGGTTCCCTTCTGAAGAAATTTGGGCTGTTCAATTACAGGCCTCATTGCTTCCGCACTGTATTCAACTGAAATGTCAGAATCTAATAAACAAATCTAATGTTTACTGCTGCTCATTGGGCTGCTTATCCTCGGTGATAGAAATCTCTATTGTACTTCAGGTGCACTGAATACTTTGTATATTCTTCTTTTTGGAAACAGGTTCTGCTCCATGATACATTCCTACAGAGAGCAAACAAAGCAGATAGTTAATGAGAAAAGGGAAATTTTAAAGAAAGACTTTAAACAGCTTGAGTCAAATGAAGCAATCATTTCAGCATCACTCATAGAAATTGATGTGATCTGGTTAGATTGGTATATCCAGAGAGACCTTACTTTAGACTTCTTTGAGACACATATCTTTTATTCTTCTAAGACTACAATAATACATATTTCATGGAATGCATGGTTGAACTGCTCAACATAGCAGAGTAGAACAAAACAAAACAACAGTGTGTGGCATTTTCTGGATTCTGTTTTCCATATCCCTTTTCTTTGCAATGAAACCAGAGGTGGGTTTTTGCCAGTTCACTTTGGATCGGGCGAACCAGTAGTGGTGGCGGCAAGAGGCTCCACCCATCTGCCTGGACGCTTCTGCACATGCACAGAAGCATTGCACCAGCGCACACTACAAATTACAAACTGGTAGTAAAATAATTTGAAACCCACCATTGAATGAAAGATACATAAAATGTTAATCGTAGACTTTTTTCTCCAGCTTCTTAGACACTATGGTTAAAAAAGTGGCAGATACACTTGGCTGGAAATTCATATTCAGATCATGCAGCCTAACCTGTCAATCACCCTGGGCACTTAAAAAGGTAAAAAGAGATAAAGCAGGATTGTGATCTGAAAGATTAACCCTTAATCTTCATGAGATGAAACTCTGATACAGAGAGAAAAAAAGAGACAGAGACGCTATATATAGCTATAATTTTAAAAGTGCATGTTACTTGCCTTCATACAACTGGTTTCAAGCTAAATAGTATCTTCAACTGAACTTTGGGTCACACAAGCAAGAAGAGATAGACAAATGTTTATTTCCCAAGTGTTGCATCTAGGGCCAGTCAAGGTGGGCAAAAGGATACTTATCCACTATCTTGTGAATATCTCAGGATAATTTTATGCCAGATTCAAAATATCAATTGTTTTTCAAAATCAGATTTTTCCCTCTATCTGAAGAGGGGATGGAATCATCATGTTTCTTTTGACTAGCAACCCTAAATAAGTACTTATTGAATTGTGAATAAATACTCAATTCATAAATGCATTTTTCATTGCAAGTCGGAAACACTGGAGTCCTCTATTTATACTATTGTCCAGATAGATGGCCATTATATTGTTATGCCAAAACATCCTTTTTGTTTTTCTACCAATCTACATAATTGGTACAGTATTTATCACTGTATCCAGGCTTCCTACTGCAATTTACTTATGTGCATATGAATTACCATGAGTGCATAATGCTTTCATCAGCATACTCACTTAAACTGCTTATAACAAGGGAGTTGTTATCTCTAATTTATCAAGCAATCATTGGAACAATAGTAAAGAGGGGCAGGAATCAAATATGTGGTTCATTCTCTTGTCTCCCAAGTAAACTAGAAGGTTGCTAAATGAAGTGGTTGATGATAATGATTTGGTTGATGTGGTTGAAATGACGTTTACGATTGTTTAAACTGGTGTCTTTGTAAAAAGAACTTTGATATCTTTATAGCTATTCTTGAAATGCCTGGCATTTGTCAACGTCTTGACTTTTTCAGGACTTTTTCCTGTCCCACAGAAAAAACTGTCATCGTTAACTCTCCTTGTGATGTTGATGTTATTGTTGGAGAAAGTGTACTTCTGCCTTGCCAAGTATCCAAAGATCCATCCATTGAGGTTGTTTTCTCATGGTCACTCAATGGAGATCTTATCGATTTTAAAAGAAGAATGACTCATTTTGAAAGAGCTGGCAGTGTAAGTTTAGTTTCATTGCTGTTTGTGTACATATACTTTTGTATACCCATTTAAAAACATCTCATTTCAACATACATTTCAACATGTTTTGAAAGCACATTAAGAATATGTATGTATGTATGTATGTATGTATGTATGTATGTATGTATGTATGTATGTATTTAGTGTCACAACCCCTGGTATGCCCAAATATGGGAGGAAGCATACTGCTTCCATTCTCTGTCTATTGACTCGTCACAAGAGACCATCACGACAGAAAGCCATTATTTTTACTGTTGCCTTTGTTACATTTGTGTTGAGCTGATAAATAAATAAAGGGAGACTAGTATAGATCTATTTGGGCATACCAGGGGTTGTGACACTAAATACATACATACATACATACATACATACATACATACATACATACATACATACATAC